ACAGATACACAGCCGCCCGCCACTACTTTGGCTTGCCAAACTATTTTTAATAAATGTTTGCCATTTTTACAAACAAAACAGTTTTAAAAAATGAAAAATGTATATGAAGTCTTTAATGAAAATAGTTACAAGTTTTTATAAAAGAACAAATGAANAGCCGCCCGCCACTACTTTGGCTTGCCAAACTATTTTTAATAAATGTTTGCCATTTTTACAAACAAAACAGTTTTAAAAAATGAAAAATGTATATGAAGTCTTTAATGAAAATAGTTACAAGTTTTTATAAAAGAACAAATGAAACAACTTTTTATTTGAGTTGCAAATTAGACCACCTAAAAACAAAAAAATGAAATTTTTAGTTTGAGTTTATTAGACAGGAAAATTAACTTGCCGATGCAAATCGTTAAGTGAGCATTATCTAAAAATTAAATTTCATTATTATTTGAACAGTTTAAAAAGTTATTGTTTTTGAAACAATGTATTTAAGAGTAAAAAGTCAAAAATAAATACCTCTATTAATGTTTATTAATTTAGAAAACGTTGATTTGTAAATAAAAACATCAGTTGACAAAATTTTTACTCAAAACTTGTTAGAAGTATACATGTCACAGTCATCAACAGAAACTCAGCAATATTTTTGAGCGAATTTTTAAGATTGTTTACAAAACTGTTTACTTTTTATACACTAGTTCCATCTATTGACATTTAGCACAACTGTTTATAAAAAATTGTAATGCACAAAACGATTTGAAAAACAGAAAAATTAAACTGTTTCATAATTTTTTCTCAAAAACTATTTTAGTTTATATTTAATTTATTTATAATGTTAAAAATTTGTATTTATATTTTTATAATTAAATCACAATTTTTTAAAATTGCAACATTGGTGTTGTTTAAAACTTTTTTATTGCTAGTTTTTTAAGCACTTTGATGCTCAAAAAACATTCACTTCTATCTGACTATACAAAAAACAGTCAATATGTCGGCTAATGACACGCGTCACATTTTGCCATCAAAAGTAGTGCATTCTATTAATTACAACACTGCCGCCAGGCACTGCTTTTTCAAGCTACTCAACCTTTCAGACAGAAACTTAGCCAGCCAATCCTTTTTCCTTCTCTTTTTCAAGCACTGCAACCTGTCGATTCTAATGATAGCCAATTGATGATCCTTTTTTGTAGATGAAAATGCTTCATTTTCAATCCCATACACCTAATTGTTATTTTTAAAACCCCAATCAAGCAACAACAACAACATTTTTAAGACAGTTAATTAAATGCAAATAAACCGTAATGGTTTGACATTATGAGTTTGCCGGTAGCTGTGCTATCTTGGTAGAAAAATTAGTAAACTCTGTGGATATGAACAAGTAAAAAGAGCAAAATGTTAACGTGAGCAATAGGGTGCACCATAAACATTTTCATCGATGAGGATGACATGCAAATGAGGACTGGTCAGCGAGTAGCACTGCTTGCCATGATTAATGTTGCCGCAATGGATGCACTGCAATGTGATGTGACTGGGCATTGCTGAACTTTTACTTGGTCTCCTGACCGGCAACTGTCATTAGGAATGGACCGATCCAGCTACTGCAAGATACTATTTTTAGTGCACCATAAAGTAGACATATTTTGGCTGCTGGCCATTAGCATTGCTTAATCTGATAGCGATCGACGCACTTATTAATGCCAAGCAGTGGCAACCATCATTGGCCAATAGACGGCTACTACTACTACTACTACTACTACTACTACTACTACTACTACTACTACTGCGACTACGATTTGCTAATTTAAATGCTCTTGATGCTACTGCTGACGATCGTCGGCGGCGGGGACCAGCCAATGATAGTGAGGTGCGCTCATTTGGGCGTGTTTGCCTTCTTGATGATGATGATGGTGATTACTTTTGCTGAGTGCGTCCACTAAAGCAGACTGGTGGCTACTGCTACTGGAAAGCCACAAACTCTACAAAACTTCATTGCCTATTAATTGTGAGCTAATGCAATCATTAGGTAATTGCTAAAGGCATCGACAAAACCAACGAAAGCAAAATGATAGTAACGTCAAGAATTTTATATACAAAATTTTTTACACGTATTTATAGAAACGGTAACAACTTGTTGCTGTTTGATGCTAACAGTTTATAAAACAATCAATATATTTGTAGTTTGTTGGAGAAAGTAGCACAAACCTGATTGCTGACGATTGACTGTGCGTTACGCACCGGTGATCATTTACTAACTGTAATTAAAGCTGCTAGGCTGACTAGCAAAACTTGATAAAAGAAAGTGTATGACCACTTTCTCATAAAATTGTCAGAGCAAAGCGTGTTTAACACATCTTTCTAGACGGAACAATGGATTTGAACTGTTGACGAGTGGATCAGGTTTACTGTCATAAAAACTATCTTTATAATCAAATTTTTATTTTATGGCTTTTCAACAATTGACAAGTCGTGCAGCTAAACTAAGCATCTAATAAATAGCATTTACTATATTTTATTAAATGCTGAAATGTCTCTCTGCATCAGTAGTTGTATTGACTTGTCAGCATTGCTTTTGCATTGAATCACCTGCACTTTCTCCAGTTTGGCACTGGATAACATGTATATCATGCTCTCTTTAATTTAGTTTATCTCACCAACACAAAACATTCGTTTTTGAATAGACAGTTTGTTTGTACGCCTCTTTTCTTTGGCCATTGACTATTCACTCAATGGTCAAAGAAGAGGCTACAATGTCGTTGACACTTGAACAGAGGCACAAACACTGAACTTGCAGACACACTGATATCAAAAATAGATCGACCCAATGAAGGGAGGCAGAATGTCCAGTGGCAAGTAACGGCAAAACATCTGCATAATGGCAATTATTCAAATTGCAAGTTTGCTCAATTTGTTGTGTCGATAAGTTAGCGGCGACTTGAATTAAGAGAGCCATGATCGCGCCCGGTCAATTGTATTCAGATTTAGGTGATTTGGCAGGTAAATTGATTTCCTTGGCAGTATTACCCGTTTAAATGTTACCCAGATAGGTCGGTTAGTGGTGCGGTCAGAACACGCCAAAGGCCTAGTGCACTGCATTTGGCGATTGAGGCCAACGCATATCGAATGAAGACTGATTGCCAGCACTGCCTGCGCACCATCGACGCATCAGCCCTGAAGAAAGCCTGCTTTCTGCTCCGATGTGCCGGGGCAGTGTTTGCATCCAATTGACATCAGTGTCGTTTGCAGAGAGGATCCACACTCACTGTTCTCTGAGCGCATTCAGCTGCATGCTAATCTCTGCAACAGCTACTGCAAGAGAACAGCAAAAATGTCAGTATATATAGAAACAATTTCCCTCAAAGCCGTTAATAAGCGCGATAAATGAAATGCTTCACTCTGAATGGTCACAATGAAGTGCCAATCACTGCCTGATGATAGCTGCAACAAGCCAAATTACACGATTCATTTAGTCTTTTTGTGAATAAATCAACAAGTAGTTTAATCGGCCAACTATTGCCATTTTCATCTGAAATTAACCGTTAATCTCACACTCACAAACTACATTTTTGAGCAAACTTAATAATTGGGTTTAAGTTGTATAAAAAAACATTTGCATATCTTATTAGAATACTTAAGGATTTTTAGGGAAGATACCCAACAATGACAATACAATACTTGTCTTGTTTTTTCCGATTAATATGCAGAATTGTTTGTGAAATGTTGCGCATTTTGGGCACATGTTGAGTGCCTGTCACGAGTGAAACTTGTCTTGGTGCATCAGCAGCACACGCTCGACTGTCAAGTGCTGTCAGGTTAATATCGATATTTTGGGGCCTATTAATTGCGATCGGAAGACATGCATACGGCAGTGTCAGTCAAGCGGTCATCCAGTCAGTCAGTCAGTCAGTTGGTTAGTTGGTCGGTGGGCCAGTGCCGGCTAATGCTTTCTCACTTGCATGCATCAGGTAAAAGAGCACAGGGAAAGAGGCATGAAATGAGATTTGCTTTCGTTTTTCTTGCACAGTGATCAGTGCCGCCTCTTGCGATGCCTCAGCGTTTCCTCAGCAATGATTGGAATGCCATGCTGGCGTGATAATGGGGTTGTCGTCGGTTGCTGAGCTGATGGCCACAACTCTTGGCCCCAAATCCCGTTATCCGACTACTCTTCTCACTGACCACTCTCCACTCATCCTGCCTTCTCTTCAGCCTTCTCCGGCGTCAGTCAGTCTGCTGACCACCTCTCTTGCGTTCATCAATTGAACTGCCGCCAACTAGAGGAGAGTGAACTAGAGAAAGTAGGCTTGCAGTGATCGGCCAGCAAAAAATAGATTCATCGACTACTGAACGAAGACAGTGCAGCCAAAAAGCAGAAAAGTATTAATTAGGCAAATTTAAGACAATCCAATCCTCGTTTGGAGATCATTCATGCTTTGATTGTCCATTCAGACGCATCCACCTTGCAACTGCATCGCATCTCCTTCTGTGCCTTTTTGTTGTCTGCCCTTTGCCGGTTTTATTGGCAAACATCAGTCAGCGACGGCACCGGTACAAAGTTCTTGACACCATGAATTTGCAAACCTTTATTCGGACCAAGCGTCGGTCCTTGTCGCTGTCTCTGTGCTACCTCATCTCTCTACAACTGTGCCTTCAAACCTTCACTATTGCACCGGTGAACGCCAATCTTGACTTTTGGACTAAATTAAAACTGCTTGGGCTGCTGGCGCTTTCCAAGAAAATATCCATTCTTCCGATTCCAATTGCCCTGCCAATTCCCATTCACATTGAAGACAAGGAGGAGGTGGTGTACTTGAAAGCGCCTCCGCCCGTGTCCAGTGCCTACTCCTACAGTTCGCCGATGATGGAGTCCTACAGCCATGTGGTGCCTCGATACGTCCGTCCGCCAAAGCCTAGCAGCCTGTACTCGCCCTCAAAAATGCACCATCACCACCACCACCACCACGATATTGTTGGCCATGCCAGTGAACTAGTGCCAGTTGTAGCTGAGGCGTCGGCTCCTCGATACGGTGAGCGGATCGTCCCCGGTGCTCAGCCGGCACCCCCTGCAGGACGACCGGCAAAGCCAATCGTCAATCGCCAGCGAGTTCCTCATCGCACCAGGGTGGTTGTTCGACCGAGAACGCAGAGCAACGTAGAGTACTATCAGCCAACGCCAACTACACAGCCACCACCGCCACCGCCACCATCTTCGGCGCCAATTGACAACGACTACTACAAGTCTCCTTATGAACCTGAAGTAAGCAAACCGCAGGTAGACTCAATTGCTGCTGTTCCAATGAAACACGAGCTGACTGATCAAGACATTGCTCAGGCCGAGACGCCGAAGCAACCTTTAGAAAATGGGCTTCCTGAAAACTTACTAAAATACATTCGTCAAGTGCAAGGTCTGACTGAAAAGGGCCAAAATGAAGCCAGTGGCCAGCTGTCGCCACCAGTTTCTGAAGCAGTGCAACCAACTTCCGATTCAGCTGATTCAGAAAACGGCAGCGACAAGTGGCGCATCATCGGCAGCAACTCTTCGGACAGTGTCCCGTTGAAGCCTTCGGGGCAGCCTGAATCAACTGCCGGCATTGCTCAACTTCCTCCCCAGCAAAGCGCTATTAGCATCCAGCACCAGCAACATGTCAGTTCAATTGTGTCTTCTCGACCTGTTACGCCAATCACCTCGCCGATTCAAAATCATTGGCAGCAAAACTTTCATTCCGTTGGAGTCAGTAGCCCAAACCAATACCCAGCAAGTGAATACGTGTACAGGCCACCTGAATTGAAAGTGATGACCAACCTGCCTCGTTACAATCCCAAGTTGGATCAAGTGCGTTCTGCTGTGAATAAGCCAATCATTTCGCCCCTGCGCCAGTCATTTCTCAGTCACGACAGTTCATCAAATCAGGCGACACAGTCCTTTACCAACTCTGCCCCGGTGTCCCTTCAGCCAACGCAATTTCTCTACACCGTCACTCACAACAACCCACCGAGCACACCGTTCAGCTCCTATTCCCCCCCTAACCAGTACCCAAACTTGGAAAACTTTGGGTTGACCTCCTTCAGACAGTCACAACTGAAACCAAATCAGTCAGCAAAACCTTCTTCATATTTGCCTTCACTAAGTGCATCTGCCAGTGTTGAATCGGCCAAGTGGATTAAGCCGGCTGAAAAAAGCCACAAATCCAAGTTTTTCAACAATTTTGGTCATCGATTATCCCAAATTTTCTAATTAGTAGTAGCGTTTTTAATTTTTTTGTTCATCAACATCGATGAACACCTTTCGATGATACTCACTTTATTTTCCACTGCTTTTTTGGCTTGACGCCAACGCAAACCTTTTCTCGTGTCATTGCAAATCATTACATTTTCTATTTATAAACTGCCATTTTTTACACTTGAACTTTACTAAATTATTTACTTTTAAATGTACAAATTTGAATTTCAATAAAATTCAGCCCCTCTTCCTGCCACATTCAAAACTGTAACTATGAGTGAGTTTTGTTTTTCGATAGGCTTGCTGATAAAAACTGTCTATATAATCAATAATAAATATTTTTTAAGATTTGGTGCTACTAAGATTGCACCTTATAGAAAAACGAAAAGAATTTCAAGTTAAAGAAAATAAAGTGAAACTACTATGTTACTCAATGTTGCTTTTCAATTAACCAAAATAAAAAATGAGGACATTAGATAGTAAAAACTACCAAAAACTTTTTAAAATTTGTGAACTCGCACAGGTCGTGCAGGTGCTAGTCACATCGATGCATCAAATTACAGCGCTTAATTTAGACAGTAGGTGCTGTACTCGGTAAGTGTATTCAGGCATTGCATAAATTGCCAACATTACTGTTTGATTTAAAGTGCAACAATTTTGTGAAAAATCTTCATCGTGACAAGGAGCAAGTGAAAGGCATCAAATAAATACCGTGACTAGTCACAACTTTTATAGAGACTTGTTAACATGTTGAACAGGTGGTCCAGAAGACATAGTGCTTGTCAAAATGTATTTTAAGGACGCCATTTAGAAGATTGAAAGTAAATTTCAACAAAATTTACTTGATCAACTGAAATAACAAAAGTTTATGTTAGTTTTGGGTAGTTTTACAATTAAAAAACAGCTACCATATTTATAAGTTCAAAACTTGAAATTTTTCCAGAAAACAAAATTGTAAACACAAAGACAAGCACTTGATATCGTGAAAACTTGTTTGCCCGGCTAATTTTTTTATTTTTTTTCAACAGAGTATGAAACAGCGGCTCCATCTACAGTGGGAAAACCAAAATGTTCAATCAGAAGCTGCACTTACGCAAAGTTCAGTAGTTGGTAAATACATTTTGCGCAACAATTGTCTGCACGCTTCAACACAAACATGATAATTACCTTTACAGAAATGTTTCATTGTTTGCCGATCAATGGACTGCAGCAAATCAGTAGAGTCATCATAAAGTAATAATGTGTTTATTGTTTT